TTTGGGTAACACCCTAATCCTAACCCTAACCCTAACTCTTATGACCACAACCCATCTTCTGGACAGAGTCTGGAGCTGAGGTGCTGTACTGGCTAGACACCTTTCAGCCAGTTATAAAAACCACCTAACCTTACAGCCTGCCTGGCTAAGAAGTAGTTTCCTCAATAAAACCCCCAAACCCTAGTAATTGTCTGCATTTTTGTTAGATCAAGCTGCAAAAGGATATGCATGCGGTGACACAAGGAAAACTGCACAAAGCAACAACCACAGGTCACACATCCTATTGGGGACATTAACTTGAAGCCACAATTATCACAGCAAAAACAAAACCAAGTAAAATGGAGAAAGAAAACCAGTACTTTACTTTGTATATTCACATCTGCTTAGTTGACTTTTCCTGGCTGCCCCCTTGTTCTACCAGGGCCTCCAGGCACATGTTTCTAAATTATCTGAATTTCACAATAAAAACAGGAAAGGGAATCTAACTCAACTTAGAAGAGAAGCGAGGAGGACCATATGATCCCAGAAAGTGGAGGATTTATTAGCTCTTATCTACAAGGATGAAATTTTCAGGTGTTCATGAGATCAGTTGAAAAGAGAAAATGGAGAACAAACATGGCAGGGCCATGTGACCAAGCATATGACCCACATGACCAAGCAAAATGGCTGAAAAATATGATAGATCTATGTGACTGACTCATGATAACCAGAATGGCCACTGAACATGGCGGAACCACGTGACTAACTGACATGAGGAACAGAAAGGTGGACTGGGATGAAACAAGGCTCTGAGAAAGCAACTAAGGATACCTAGAGATAAAAGGCCATCTACAGGAGCAGTGCAGCTGAGACTTTGAGCACAAAAAAGGGTAAACTAGGGTAGGTGGCTACTCAAGCAGGAGATCAAGTTACCAATAGCTATTTTTCCCCAAAAGTGAGAAAGCTGAGCAAAGTATCAAGGAGAGCAGAAATGTGAGGACCAAAAGGCACACTAAACTCTAGCTTGCACACATGGAATTTAAATGATCTGTTCTACAACTGGTCAGTAACAGGCTCTCTGGCAGCTCTCCAGCAATGAGTGACCAAAATGGGAAAGAGAAGAAAGAAAAGGAGAGATAAACAAGGCAGACCTGTGGGACTCTCTTATCAGCTTAGAAAAACACAGAGCCATGAACTTTCCCTTTCCAGTCCCACATGGAGGAACATACTAGAAAACTGTTCCTGGAGCCATGTGAAAATTTCCTGAGTTCCCCAGCTTCCATTAGTTTTTAATCACCCTCTAGTTCCCTGCTTCTTTCTGACAGCCAACATCAGAAAAAAAAAGTTAAAGGATTTTAGCCTCTGACAGAGGAAAGACTATCTTGGGAGAGAAGAGACAAGAAAGAGGTTGGGGCTTTCCTGGGTGAGTGAAAGAGGGAAAAAAAATTAAACCAGTCCTTAGCTTGAGTCTAAGATTTCAGAGAAGTACAGAAACAGTTCTTTGCCCAAAGGGCTTACCTCCTGGCTGGTTTCACCAAAATATGTTACTAGGTTCTGGAGTTCTGGGTTCTAGAGGTATTTTCTAGGTTCTTTGAAAGAATTGGTCAAAATAAGTGCCAAAGGTAGTGAGGTTTAACATTTATTAAAGGTAGGAAAAGAAACCTGCTCTGCAGAGTGAGTGTGGACCAAAAAAAAAGCAGGAAAAGAAAAACACTCTGCAGAGTGAGAGCAGACCACTGTGAAAGAGAGAGCATAGTAGCCAAGAGTTTAATGATGGGCATCTTTTGCGTCCTCCACTCCTTAGGCTGATGTCAGATCTAGCCAACCTATCAAAAATCGACATGCTGGGAGTGGTGGTGCACGCCTGTAATCCCAGCACTTGGAAGGCTGAGGCAGGAGGATCCCTGTGAGTTCAAGACCAACCTGGGCTACACAGTGAGTTCCAGGGCAGTCTGAACTACATAGTGAGACCCTGTCTCAAAAAACAAAACAAAACAAAACAAACCAAAAAAATTGGCTTGAGTTCTCCCAAGAAGAGTTGGAGATACTGTAGCATTCTCTGATTGGTCCCAGCAGCAGGGTTGGGGCACACACCCTGCATCTGTGTTTGATAGGTCATACCCACTTGCTCAGCCATCTGGCCACGCCCTAATCCCCTACCTCACTATTGTTAGCCCCATTTATAGATGTGCAGACCACAGAGAGGTTATATAATTTCTCCAAAGTCACACCAGCAGCTTGGCTTCAGGGTCTGGTTTTCTAATCATTTCTCTTCCTTTTTCACAGAAGAAATACTTGAGGGATAAATAATACACATGTAAACCAAATATATATATGGCATAAATATATATGAAATATATATATATGGCATTACATAAAGTGATGAGCACATCCAGCTCAGAGTGGTGGTGCACACCTGCAATCCCAGAACTCGGGAGGCTGAAGCAGGAGGATCACTGTGAATTTGAGGCCAGCCTGGGCTACATAGTGAGTTCAAGGGTGGCCTGGCGTACATAGGAAGACTGAATCATGAAAATAAAACACATCCAGTAGCCAAATAGAATGTGTAAGGCTGGGATGTAGCATGGTGGTAGAGCCTTTGCCTAGCATGTGTGAGGACCTGGATTCCATCCCCAGCGTTGCCAAAAAAAGTGTAAGGCAAAGGACCCATTGATTCTATGTTCATAGGTATTTCCTGAGGCCTCAAACCAAAAACAAATTTTGTTCTTCAAGTAGTTGAACAGATAAACATGTTTTAATACATGCATCCCATTAAATACTACTAGCAATAAAGGAGAAAGGATTCCTTTTATTTGCTTGCTTATTTGATTTGAGACAGGGTTTCGCTATGTAAGTCATGCTGGTCTCGAGCCTGCCATCCTCCTGCCTCAACCTCCCAAGTGCTGGGATTACAGGCGTGCTCCACCGTGCCAGGAGGGAAGGAACTTTTAATAGGCACAGTGACGTGTATGAATTGCAAGTGCATTGCATAAGGGGTGAAAGAAGTCGGACTTGTAAGGCTCCAAACTGTCTGATTCCACTTGCGGTAGCCTGGGAAAGGTAAATCTAATCTATAGTGACAGAGGGTAGATTAGGTATTGCCTGAGACTGGGATGCAGAGGGAGGATTCAGTGCACAGGGACAGGAAGGAGGGAACTGTTTAAATGATAGAAACATTCTCTCTTTTTGGAGTGCTGGGAATGGAACCCAGCATTCCATGCAAGCCCCTCTACCACCAAGCCACCCTTCTAGCCAAATGTTCTCTATCTCTTCTTTTTTCTGAAGTACTGAGGGTTGAACCCAGGGCCTTCACACTGAGCTATAGCCCCAGCCCTCTTTTATTTTTTATTTCAAGGTGTGATCTTGTTAAATCACTAAGTTTCCCAGGCTGGTCTCAAACTTGCAATCCTCCTGTCTCAGCCTCACAGCGTGCTGGGATTACAGGCATGCACCACCAAGCTGGGCTTGTTCTCTATCTTGATAGTGGTAGTAATTTCATGGGCACGTTCATCTGTCAAAACTCATCAAAGTGTGCACTTTAAAAGGGCGCAGGTAATTGTATTTAGTTATATCCCAACAGTTATATTTAAAAGGATGTTAAAAGTGCAGTGGAATAAAATACAGACTTTAGTTACTAATAATATATCATACTGGCTCATTAATTGTAGCAATTGTACTGTACTCATATACAATTTTAATAATAGGGGAAGCTGGTCAGTGGGCCTTCCGGGAACTCTACTCTGTGCAATTTTTCTGTAAAGCTATTCTAAAACATAAAGTTTATATTTTTAAATGGGGAAAAATAAAAAAAAATGGGGAAAACGCAATGGATAGATGACTTTATGGCCAGGTTCACTTCAGCAGGCAGGAAAAACAGGTCTCGGCCTCCCACGCCACACCACAGGATTCTGGTTTCGCAGCACAGCCTCCTGCAGTGTCTCTCAGAGCTGTCTCCTGGGAGCCTCAGGAGCTCGGGCTGCACACGCTAGGGGCAGGTGCGGCGGGGCAGGTGCTGCTGCGTGCCTGCCTCCCCGGAACCCAGCTATAGGATCTCCCGAGGGCCGGGCCTGTATCTGATTCGCGTAAATCACTGTCATTCCTGCTCTTCGCAGCGTGCGCCCTCAGCGCTCGGTGTTGCGCCTCGTCTGCACGGTGGCCTTCTCTCACTTCCTCCCTCAGCCACCGGGAAGCCACCTGGAAAGACCCGCTATGGCTAGGGAGCCGCCGTTCTGATGGAGGACACAAAGACTAAATAAATACAGTCAACCTGTCTCTGCAAGTCGGTCACAAGATCTAAGTGTTCTAGGGGGGAAAAAAAGAATAGGTCAGGGAAGAGGGATGGGTGTACGGGGGATTGCCTGTCTTCCCTCCCTCCTTCCTTCCTGCCTTCCTTCCGTTTTTCTCTGGTACTGTGGATTGAACCAGGGCCTTTACAATGAGCCACACCCAGCCCTTTTTATTTTTTATTCTGAAACAGGGTTTCCCTAAGTCACTAAATTACCGGTACTGGGCTCAAACTTGGGATCCTCCTGCCTCAGCTTCCCAGGCTAGGATTTTACAATGCTGGGCATGGACTCCAGAGCCTCCCACACATCAGACAAGTGCTCTGCAACTGGGCTGCCTCCCAACCCCAGGGCGGTTTCAAGCCAGTTTATCAGAAAGGCCACCCAGAGAAGGTGACACTAAGCAGACACCTGAGGAAGGGAGCCACACAGACACCTGGGGCCAGTGTGCTGGACTGGGGGCTCAGTTGGTACAAAGGGGGGGTGCTAGATACAGAGGCTGGTGTGGCTGAGCGAGGGGTGCAGGATGGAGTGAGGGATGAGGGTGGGGGAGAGGGGGTTCTTCGGCGGGCAGCGAGCTTTGGGAGGTGAGGCAGAGCAGTTCCAGGTGGACTTTAAAGCCTAGCACAGAGTATTCCAGTTGACTGACCATGGGCACGAGTGAAAAAGAGTCAAAGTCAATACCAAGGCTTGTGATATCATTTAATCCTGACATCATGAAGTCTTATCATTCTTCTGCTACAGCAGCGGAAACGGGGCTCAGGGCTCGGAGTGGGCTGGCGTGAGCAGAGCTGGGAGGACTTTGTGCTCTGTAGACTCCACCTCACCTGGAGGCAACGCTCCTGCAGTGGCTTCTCCGTCTTGTGCCCTCTGCGGCATCCCGTCACTGTGGGTCACCTGGTCGGGTGGCCACGTCTCCCCATCTACCTGCAAACTCGACAGGACACGACGGGCACTGACTCCTCACTGTCCCCAGGGTCGTCCGGCCAGAGCCTGGCCGAGGCTGCCTTCATCGAGGCAGCAAATACTTATGAAGTGTGTACGCGACGCCCGGCCAGCCCTCCAGTGAGCCGCCATCCCGAGAAGGGGCCCGGCGGAAGTGACAGACTCAGATATGAACAAAAAGTCCCTGGTCCCAGACCTCCAGCCCAGGAGGAAGATGAAATTGGGGAGGACACTGAGAACTGAAAGCAGCGAGGGACACAGAGTGACAGAGACCTGCTCTAGCTGAGGTCACCAGGGAGGCTTGAGGAGAACGCTGGGGCTGAGGGTTAGTGCGTTTCAGAGACTCCCGGAAGCCGGGGTAAGGGTGCAGAGGTTCAGATCAGAAGAGTTTGAAACGACACAGGACAGAGCAGGACCAGCTGCAGGGTTGTCCCGCAGGGCTGGGAACCTGCTGCAGGCAGATAGAAGCCCCAAGACTGCTGCGGTCCGGTCCGATCGCATTCTTCACCAGCCCGGGGCCACCCTGCGGCCCCACCCAAATCCCTCTCACCATGGCCCACAAAGTTTCCAGCCTGCCGTCACCTCCCTGTCCTCACCCCTAAGTCCCGTTGCTCCTCCTGCATCAGCCTCCTGGCCAATATCCCGGCGGAGTTTCTCTCTGTCTCTCTCTCTCTCTGTCTCTCTCTCTCACCTGTCTCCTCCCTCATCTCCTTCAGATCAGATGTCACCTCTCAGTGAGGTCTTCCTGACTCTGTCCCCTCTCCATCTCTCTTCCCTACCTTTTCTGAGCACTCAAGGCCTGTAACCTCCTTATTTACAGTGTCTCCTTTCCATTTCCCTGGTTGTAATGTCCACTCCGCATGGGCTGTCTTGTTCAGGGCCATCTTCCTAGAACTGAGAACAGAGCCCAGCATGTAGCAGATGCTCAATAAATAATAGTTGAATAAATAAAAAGGCGAAGAGAAAGAGAAATGGACGGAAGAGGCAAGAAACTGACAGGTCTGTGAGCTCCTGAGACCCATCAGTTCCCCAGCCGGGATTCTGGAATGTTAACGTGTCCTCTCTTTATCTCCTGCTTCCTGCAGGAAAGAGCACTGGCTGGGAAACTGAGGCACAAAGGGATATTGGGCAGCCCTTCCCGGGCCAGGGAGGCAGGAGCCAGGCTTGGGTGACAGAGGGCCAGGACAGGAAGAAAAGGCCACTGATGCCACCTGCTGGGAAGTGAGGGCATGACAGCTGTGCCCACCCTGCTGACTTGGGGCTGGTGATGCCCCTCATTGGGTGCGCACCAGGTGAGGGGAGGCGGCTCAGCGGCCTGGCCGGCAGATGTGTGAGTGCACAGGGCCACAGCTGCAAGCCTCTTTATTCCGAGGCACTTGGGTATCCAGCCCGGTCAGGGCTAGGCAGGAGGGCACATACCCGCATACCTGTCCTCCCTCCACAGCCAGCTGGGACTCCCACATGTACGGAGGAGAGAGCTGCCCACCTCAGGCTGCATGCACCCCACACGAGGCCTTAGAGGGCAGGGAGTGGGCCTGCCCTGACTCCCCACCCAGGCCAGGGCCAATGGTCCAGTCACTCCAGCCAAGGCGGCAAGGCCTAGGTCCTGATGAGAGCATCCCGCGTCCCTAGAGGTACACCATCCGGCCGTGCAGGGGCCTCACCAACCAGAAGTCGTCCACAATCTTCCCATCCTGTGAGGGATAAAAGCAAGGAAGGCAGTGAGGCTTGAAAGCCCAGATTCTGGGCCTAAGTGATCTGGATGGATTCAGTACCTATCTCTGCCTCTGATAAGCTGTTGACCTTGGGCAAGTCTCTATACATCTCTGGGCCTCAGTTTTCCTCCTCTGAAAAGTGGAAATGGTAATAATAGTCGCTGTGGGGATTAAATGAGATAATATGTGTCCAGGGCTTAAAGGGGAGCCCCGTACGTGGCGAGACTACTGCTGAGTGTGGCCTGTTATCATTAAAAGCACATCCTGGCTTGGACTCCACCACAGAAACTATATGTGGCCTTAAGCACACAGCTCTCCGAGCCCAAGCTCCATGTTGCACACAATGGGGAGAGGAGAGAACCACAGAACGGAACAGACCACGTTGGGCACAGGAGAAGGGAAGGATGGGCGCATGTGATGGCAGCGGTCTACCCTGGAAACAGGGTCTCCGGGCTCAGATCCGAGCTTTGCCACCCTCCGCTGTGTGACCGTGGGGAAAGGACTTCCCTTCTCTGAGCTTCAGTCCCCTCCTCTGTGAAATCCATTCCCACACGATTGTTGTGGTGACTAAAGCGCTACAAAGCAGAGCCTTTAGCCTACTGCCTGGTACACAGCAGGCATTCAATAAACCATCACTTTCTCATTATTTTAAAAACCACAAAGAAGAGTAAGCCATTCATTAGCGGGCTCCATCTAACCTTCTGTCACTGCTCTGACACACGTGTCACGTCGTCTGGCCGCCGCCTGCCTCCCACCACACCCCTTGTTCCTCCCCTGCCTGCCAGGAGAAGGACCTACTGAACTCAGCGTTTCCACGCTGCTCCAAGCACGGCTTGTGCACGGGGTGGTCTGAAAGCACAGTGCATGTTTAAACAAAAAAATACTACAAGCCCGGTAGGGTGGCGCACGCCTGTAACCCCAGCCTGTGGGAAGTTGAGGAAGGGGGATCGCCATGAATTCAAGGCCAGCCTGGGCCACATAGTGAGTCTGAGACTCTGTCTCAAAAAAAACCAAAAAAACAAATTAACAGTAAAGACGCATTGCTGTGCTTGCTTTCGCAGCTCATATACTAAAAGACACCTGGCCACAAATACCCTCAAATCCTCCCCTTCTTCGAACACACTGTCCCATCGTTCCTGCTACTTCCTTAAGCAACTCAAAGACTTTCATGTCTTAACAAGGCATGATCAAAAACACAGTAAATGCTGCTGCTGTGTGTCATCCAGCAGGAAGACAGGCTCTTAAAAGTACTATGTTGTGGAGCTGGGGACTCACTTGCCTACCTCAAAAGCGCAAGGACCCAAGTTCGATCCCCGGTAGGAAAAACAAAATTATGTTGTGTCCGCATCTACCTCACTCACTCAATCTGGTATTCATGTGGATTCTGGCCCTGCCCCACAGTCAAAATGACCATGAAGGGTAAAATTTGTGAATCGATTTAGGAATTCAGGCAGCTCTAACTGCAATTAAAGACAATCATGCTTTACAAAGTGGTAAGAATGACGGGATAGCAAGGTGTGGTGGTGCACACATGCCTATAATCTCAGCACTCAGGAGGCTGAGACAGGAGGGTTGCTGTAAGTTCAGGGCCTGAACTACAGAGTGAGACCCTGTCTCAAAAAAAAAAAATGATAAAAAGAACATTGGGGTACATGTGTTCAAAGCAAAGGAGGAGTATTTTTAGAGGAATTGATGACAATGTATCTTTTATTGTAATATATTAAAAACAATGCCGGGCATGGTGGTACACTCCTGTAATCCCAGCATTCAGGAGGCTGAGGCAGGAGGATCGCTGTGATTTTGAGACCAGCCTGGGCTACATAGTGAGTTCCAGGTCAGTCTCAACTACATAGTGAGACCCTGTCTCAAAAAAAAAAAAATGATAAAAAGAACATTGGGGTACATGTGTTCAAAGCAAAGGAGGAGTATTTTTAGAGGAATTGATGACAATGTATCTTTTATTGTAATATATTAAAAACAATGCCGGGCATGGTGGTACACTCCTGTAATCCCAGCATTCAGGAGGCTGAGGCAGGAGGATCGCTGTGATTT